CCGACGGTGCCAAGGTGGTTGATGCCCTTAAAGACCTCAAATATAAGGTATTGTGCTTCTCGTGCAAGTATTTGTATGTCTATTTGGATACAATTGTCAACTGGAAGACGTGAGTGTGTGTGTGAATTTGCTCATTTGTTTGTAATATACTAAGTTGTTTAAGGTTAAAAGATGATAGTGAAGGGGGCTCAATATCTTGAGAAGTTGTAAATCTCTACTGCAGGCTGAGGAAGCTAAACTGATTACAGAGCTTGCAGAGCTGGATACTGTAAATTATGAGCTTTTCAAGCAGGCATATTTTGCATCTGTAGATTTAAACAAGTTTTTGGATAAGTATGAGATGTCCAAGTTTCTTAAAGAGCCATATGACATGGAGGGAGCATGTCTCATAATTGAATCTAGATGTGGAGACATTTACTCAGAGGTTCGTAGTTTGAGACTTTATGCTTTTCTATAGAGTCACTGCTCTTTTAATTGGAATGCCCTTTATATCAGCGAAGTATGATTTAACTTGGCAAAAAATATTTATTATTCTATAATCTGCTTTTAACCTTGACTCTCTAAAGTTTTAATTTGTAGCCATAAGCTATTATTTTAAACAAAAATCTTTTATTGATTTGTTTTTCAGTTAATAAAGGTTTGAAAAGGTTCAAGATTAGGACTGTCGAGCACTCCCTAGAGAGTTTCTATTACATACATGAATAACTCGGTTGAATCCTTACTTTGAGCTTTCTTACATGGTAAATTTGATTGTCTATGATTCATTCTTGTTAATCATAATTCCTTTTATCTTCTTTTCGGCTCTGGCTTTATGTCTTTATCAATTATTTTGGTCTTTCTGCTAACGAATAGTTACAACTTTGTCAAAATGGTAACTAATTCTACATACCTCATTGCTTTTCCATTGGATAAACTTGTTTCGATGTGCTATGATGTGATCTTCTTTTTCTTTCTTTCTTTTTTCTTTTTCTTTTTCGCATTATTCATATATTCAATGTATGAACAAGTTTGAAACATACCTCTAAACCTCAGTAGACTTTTAGTATTGTTGGCTACATGGATCAGCTTCTTAGTCTCTAGACTCGCAAGGACCATTTCCTCTATTAATGGACTAAAGCATACGAGTTACTTGACATTTTGGGACAATGTGTTCTTTTATCTCATTAGCAGAAGGTCTGTATTTTTTTTTTTTAACTATGACTGGGTCTTCTCCATTATGATCTTGATGTAAATTTTATTCAGACATGGGCAGGACAACTCACTCGAATGTACATGAAATGGGCTGAAAAGCAAGGTCATGCTGTGAGGATAGTTGAGAGATGTCCTGCAAAGAATGGAGGTATCAAGTCAGCAACAATTGAATTCGAATTCAAATATGCTTATGGCTATCTATCAGGGGAAAGAGGTGTTCACGGAATAATTGGGAATTATAAGAGTGAATTTAATTATCCTGAGGTATGAATTTCTGTTACTATTACAAAGGACCCAGAAATTTCCTCGTTGTGATTAATTTTTTACTGTCAATTGATTGCTAAAGAAATGACACTTTCGTATTTTCATTGATAATTTCTGTATTATCTATTTGGTAGGTGTTATTTAAAACAATAATAAACCAAGCCTTATTCCCGATAATATGGGACATGAATCCTTTTTTGCCATTTTTTCAGGTCATTGCTATATCTTTTGGAAGAATTGATAAATGTTATGTGCTCATGAAAAATGAATTACAATCCCTGGGATCATTTAGTGAACAACAGGAAATCTGACCATGACCACACCATGTTTGACTGGTTGCAATCGAAGAACACTGCTGTACATGATATCATGGTTAATAAAAATTATTTTAGTGAAAAGTTGGGCAAATTTCCAATAGAAAACGGGGTACTGGAATAGGCTTTGACATAGTGGTTATCAAAAAGTAAGGACAGGCGAAAGATATTATGGGGAACAATCAATTAGGTTTTTCAGTTTCATGAAAAATTTGGTATACTAATACCCAAGATAAGACTAAGATACATGATTAAGTTAAACAGGGACATTCTTCACCAGATTTGTCAACGTATAAATATCTCGATATTGATGATAAGGAAAAACTTATGACATACTGCATATTGATTTGTGTGTGGAGTTTCCACAAGTTATAGCCAGGCATATCTTGGTTTGAGAACTTATAGTGTTCCTAAAATATCAGAACAGGAAGAGCCTACTATATGGTGGCAAAAGAACCACAAGAATCTATGCTTGGCAAGCTGACTTCTAAGTAAAAGTTTTGTTTCCAAACTTATTCGATACAGCTTTCTTACTTAGAACTAAAAAAAGTTACTTATTTGGGCAGTAAGGCGGGAATTATTTTCAAAATAGGCACAGCTTATTCCAACTTTGACCAACCAAATTCTTTAATTGTATAACCTACTTATTTACTTTCCAGTGAAGTTTTTAAGCTAAGCCAAACACATGCACACAGTGTTTATCATTTTGGCTAGTGAGTTTGGCTCTCAGTTCTATATCCCGCATCTTTAAATATCTTGTTCAGTTTTAGAATTGGCTATCGAATAAGCAGTGGTCAGTTAACATCCCATCCTATATTCAGATAATATAACATATAGAACCCTAATTCTTCATTTTTTTGGTGCTAGAGTTTCAATTCCTTGTTTATAGCGTAATTTGGAAATTTTGAGAAAGAAATTTCATTTTTACATCTAATATCTAGAGCTTGTTTGGGAAAGATTAAAATCCAATTAAAATTGAAAATATAGCCGTTATTAGATCCCACTCATCTAATAAAAGTCAACTCCAACAGCTATATTTTCAATTTTAATCTGATTTTAATCCCTCCCAAACAAGCTCCTAATTTTAATTGACCCTCTCTTGATATGATGGCCCATATTATATACTACTGTGGCATCACTATTGCTAATATGTTGTAGGCTAGCTTAGCGGCTGTGGATGTGATTCCTTTATTCCTTGAATCATCACCCGGACTATTAATTGATGACAAGGATCTACTAGTCTCCTGCCCATCATCTTCCAAGAAGCCAGGCAAGATTTCTTCGTCGGTTTCCATTCAGCATATTCCAACTGGTGTAGAAGTCCAATCAACAGGTGAGAATTTTGCTTGGAATAGTTATAGTTTCTGTTAAGCTCATATCATTATTTTTCATGCTTATGTAGTAATATAGTTCTGATTCATGTACCTCTCAGTTTCTTTGATAAATATACACATTTGGACTCCACATATACAGCAAAGCCACCAAATATACATACACTGTTGCACAAACATACCCAGAATCTCTGAGAAATGCCTCAAACTTGTGATGGCAATTATAAAGAGCCTTGAGAATAATGAAAAATATGTGTAAGTAAACGAATAATGATATATGCACCATCAAGTACCTTTAGAAATTTCCTTTTTGTCATGGTTTTCGTTCAATGAACCTCGGGAGTATGTACTTCCTTACCAAAATAGTACACGACTCGAGCCCATGAGCTATTGGAGATGAAAAGAAGCACAAGAAGCCTTGCTCTACCTTACCAGTTGTTTGTTAAAAAATGTGCATTTTTCTATTCTACATTTTCAAAATGTTCTACAATCAATAAGGAAAGATGAGCAGGAGAAAGAAAGGCCAACGAAAAAGACTGTTCTCTTTGCAGGTGAAAGGAGCTGTGTTGCGAATAAGATTAAGGCCCTTAACCGCTTGAAGGCTAAACTTCTCGTTATTTTGAGGGATCAAGGTACATCTGATGTTAGTAACATAAAGAAAGATGCCCTTGTTGATATGTGGAGTCACGAGGCTCGAAGGTATGTGTTTCAACCCACCAAGATGGTAGAAGATGTGAAAACCGGTACCCAATTTCCTGATGTAAATGCTGTGATAAACGGAAATATTGACTCTCTCATTGCGGCTCGCATTAATACTAGACGGGCGTGTAATGTCGTTTAACCAGTTTCGATTCGCAATTTTGTACTGTATATCTTGTTTTTATTTTTACAGTTCTTGGTATAAAACATTCTTTTCTACACGAGCTGCTTATTTTTGGGTTTCTGATAGCTCATTGCCAAGCCATTACTGTTACCCTTGAGAAAAAAAGGGAATCCATCCAATTACTGCATTGCTTTTTTAGGATTATTGTCCATTTTTCGTTTTACTTTATTTTTATGTTAATTAATTTTAAAAAATATAAACTTGACAAATATAACAGTTTTGCATATGAAAATTTGATTAGCTTAATGAATTAGAAACAAAAATCAAGTCGAGCAAGAACCAAATCGCATAAGCCAAACAGCTTTTAAGCTACTTATAATTAAGTCTATGTTTGACACCCATTTTTTGTCATTTTCATTTTTTTCTTTCTTCATTTCAATAACACATTTTCCAAATAAAATAATATTACAAAAAAATCTAAAAATTTTTATCAATTTTTCATCACATTCTCGCATCAATCACTATTTCAAAATTTTTTTTCTTATAGAAATGAGATTCAAACACAAGCTAACTTTTAAAAGTTTAACGAAAGAGTTAATTTTATTAATTATTTAATACTTGAAGCGTGATGTTATGATACTTACATTTGACTTTTAAACTTTTGACCAAACATCTTGTGTGTATTAATTTTTTTTCGGCCGATCACCCTCTTATAATTTCATCTTCTTACCATCTCTCACAATGATTATTAAATTTAATTACTCGACTCAAATAAGAAAAAATTTACAAAATAAATAAATAAAAAAAGTTATAAAAGATAGTCTAAGCAAGTTATCGAGATTCTCAACAAGACTCGGAAAATAAATAAAAATCTTTTATTTTTATTTTCTATTATATTTTAAAAAAGCAAAAAAAAAAAAAGGGAAAAATTAAACTATTTTTTTATTATTTTGCACGTGGCGACATCGATCAGCTCTGCCCGCCACATATTTTGGCGGCACAATTTTTCACTGATATGTGTTAATTTAAGCCACCTTGCTTACGCTTTAACCTACGCTACTCTGTCTTCGAGTTTCAATGATTCAAATTCTCAAATTAGGGTTCCACAATTTAACTTTCAGGAGGTACACACTAAATTCAGTAATAACCTTAGGTTTAATTCTTAACTCTGGTTTCTTCTACATAATTTTTTTTAGCTTGTTTGCAGTAAATTATAGAAGCCTGAAATTTAAAGGTCCGTCTTCTGTGAAGTTAGAATTAATGGGTTCTAAAAGACCCCGGTCGATTTCCTCGCATTCAGCTGTGAGTGATCATTTAAGTATTGATGCATCAAAATCCCAAAAGACTGTTTCCAAGGTCACTTTTTTTTTATTTTCCTTTTTTCTTTTTGGTGTTACTGCGTTTGTTAGCATGGTTGTAAGTAATTATTGTATTGTGCATAATGGGTTTTCCTTGGATAAAATAGGACAATGTTAGGGAAAGTGAGCTGCTTGGGGATGATTCCAAGAATATAGAGGATATGACAGTTCAACAGCTGAGATCGAGATTGAGGTAAATGTTCTGCTTTTTTGGCTAAAATGTATTTAATTTATTTTTCCAATATTATATGGCTGTTTGAGTGTTCAAAATGGGCAGAAATTTCTTTTTCTGGATATCTGAGAGGTAATCTTGGGATTTTTTACCCAAACATAGACAGCTTGGGTCAGGCAATCTGATGTGTAGAGAGAGAAGAATTATACTTACAGAATGGTACAGAGAGAGTCTGAAAAACTAATTGCAATTTATACTTTAAAAATAATTTTGCTTCTTGAATGTAAAGACTTGGGAATGTATCTATCAGTATCTAAGATGATTTCTTGCTAATAAAATTCACATGACAATTCATTTCCACGAGCCTTATATTATTAGAATTTAGAAAACAATGAACTGAACTTTTATGCTTGTCGTGACAGATAAAAAGGAATGGAGCTTGTGTGGTTCCTTCTAAGGTGGCTGTTGGGATATATTTGAGTATAATACTGATATTTGGTATCTTTGCACCAATTGATTGCTTTATTCCTACATTGGTTCCTTTGTTCTGCAAGACCGATGTCATGTTTATCTACTTGTGTATTACACCATCCAGTAATTTGCAGCAGATTGTCTTGCTTTATTGTTATATTTTGTATTTGTAGGCATATAGGGATTCCTGCCAAAGGTACTAAGCAGGAACTTGTCTCTGCCTTGAAGAATTCTTTGAACAGCCAAATAGATGGTATCCTTTTCCTATGGCATTGTTGATGTGCAATGCTTCTACGTATAGTGAAACTCATTTTAAGAAATATTTCTTACCTAGGTTTTCTACCATCTGATAGGTGTCATGCAGCGCTAAAGAATTTACATTTTAAATGCAGGTGAAGGTTCTTTGGATCAAAGCAATCAAGTAACAACCAAAGATGAGCCAAATATCACTAAAAACAACTCAAAAAGAAAATTTAGAGGGTTATCAACTAGAAAGCTTGTCCAAATTACAGCCGATGATTCAGAGACTTCTGGAACTAAAAAGTCAAAGAGAACTGTAAAGCAATCTCCTGCAAACACCGTTGACGTAAAAATTTTGCAGAATATGAAGGAGCAAGAGCTGACATCCATTGATGCAGAAAGTTACAGAGTTGACCTCGCCGTAGAGGAACCTTGGACTATTTTTGCTCACAAGAAGCCACAAAAAGGGTGGGTTGCTTACAATCCCAAAACTATGAGGTCACCTCCTCTTGCTGCTGATACAGCACATTTGAAGTTAATGTCTTGGAATGTCAATGGTTTAAGAGCTTTATTGAAGTTGGAGAGCTTTTCCACATTGCAACTTGCACAAAGAGAAAATTTTGATGTATTATGCTTGCAAGAGACTAAACTCCAGGCAAGTATTCTTAGCCCCTGTTTGGGCCACATTATTTTTTTTATTCTCATTCTTCTACTCATTTTTAACCACACTTTCTTCAATAAAATAATATTTTCTATCACATCAATAATTTTCCTTCTTTTTCAATCACATATTCTCCATCACATCAACAGTAAAAATGCATTTTTACATTCAAAATGTGCACCAAACGGGGCAGTAACATTCTAGGTTCAAGAGATTAAATAAGTGCTTAAAACACATTCTTCAATAAAATAATACTTTCCATCACATCAATAACTTTTTCTTCCTTTTCAACCACATATTCTCCATCACATCACTTCAAAAAAATGCATTCTCTCATTTTAATGTGTACCAAACGGGCTCTTAGTTTGTTTTTTAATTTGAGAAACCTAATTGGAGTTCACTGCTTCCATTAGGATAGTCTATAGAATAAGGGGTAGAGGCACTTCTCCACAGGCTCCTTGTCCTTGAATCTAGTATCCTCGCATGGAAATCTAAGAAAGCATTTGAAAAAAAAATTGGCATGCTAACAAGTTTGATTATTCAAATAACCGATGGGTAGAAATCAGCTTTAGGTCATAATGTTGATTAGAGCATTAGACTGACTCTTTCCATGCAGTTGGCCAGACCTTATGATTCCCTATATGTTCTGTAGTGGATGGAAACACTTTAGTGGGAAGCCTATTACATAATGTGGAAGAAATTAAACTATCCTGGACACAGGATATCTTGTATGTTCTGGTCCCAAACTTAGCAAGTACTCCTTTGGATCTCGACAAGAGTACTCTTTCTGATGCAATAAGAGCCTACAGCCCATGTGTTTTTTTCCAAGAATTTTGTATTTTGGAGTTAATGTCATTGTATTTTCAATTCCTTAAGCAGGAGAAAGATGTTGAGTCAATCAAACAAAGTCTCCTAGAAGGTTACGACAATAGCTTTTGGACATGCAGTGTCTCGAAGCTAGGTTATTCTGGTACAGCTATTATTTCACGGGTACGTTCTTTTTTTCTTTTAGTAGTTCCAGTTTCGCACTGCCTGCAAGTGTCTTTCATTTTTTATGGACTCATTTCCCTTCTTTTCATCTGGCAGATGAAACCACTTTCCGTCAGATATGGACTGGGCATATCAGATCACGATAGTGAAGGACGTCTTGTAACAGTGGAATTTGATAATTTCTATTTGTTGAGTAGCTATGTTCCCAATTCTGGTGATGGTCTAAGAAGACTGGTAAATGATTTTGCATTCTTATTTTATGGACCTGTTTCTTACTTCCCCAAGTCATTTTGCTTCCTAGAAAACTGATCAAAATTCCTTTGCTAGTCATACAGAATTAGTCAGTGGGATCCTTCACTTAGCAACTACATGAAAGTAAGTCTTACTCAACTCATGCACGTACGCTATCAATTACTTTCCCTCTATGTTGAACTTGACAATTGTCATAGTGTGCTTCCAGCAAACTGGAGTGTGGGAATAATTTTTCTTCCGACTATAATTTAGATCCTGATCTACAATTTTATTTGTCAATAAATATACAGGTTATTATTAAGTTGGTTAATAATAAATGGATAATAAAATGCATATTACTCTTAATTACATGTTAGCTTCATTTTCTTTATTTCCCTTCTCTTTTTAGGCATTCTTATTTCTGATAATTTGACTTTTCGTTTTCTTCATATACTTGCCAACTCAACTGACATATTCAATTTATTTGCCTTTTGTTCTTTACATTGGTTCTTGCTCGGTTGTCAGTTTCTCCATAAAATTAGGCATGATTTGCAAGTTCTAACACTATATCTAGATTTAAATATCTTTCAAAATAATTTACCTTGCCATTACCTTTTCTTTTTGTTTCTTTTATATTAAGTGTATCTAATGTCTCTTCGTTTCCATCCCTTATAAAAGTTAAAAAAAAAAAATTGCTATGGACAAGGATAAATTCTGGTCTTGTTTCACTGTAGATGAGGTTTTATTTGATTTGGTGAATTTTAAAGGGGTTGCTCATTATTACATGTTGGAACTTATATGGACGTCCTGTTTGTGTGCTTGACAGGATCTAGAACGATTAAAGCCTGTCATTCTGACAGGTGATTTGAATTGTGCTCATCAGGAAATAGACATCTACAATCCGGCAGTATGTAATTCTAATTCTAGCATTATACAATTTCATTCTATTTTTAACTGAAGGATATGCAACCTACAAAAAGAAAGGAGGAAAAATGCATATCTTTTAGTTAATATCTTAGTATCTGAATAATTAAGGAGACTGGTAATGCTGTAGTTGCAGTGGCCTACAACTAGACATGGTGGATGGTGAACCATTGCTGCTTAAGTGCTTTAGTTGTTGTAAAATTGATATCGAACTGAGTTTTTTAGTAGTTCTGTTGGTCGAAGTAGGAGCTTTATTTTTGTCCCCTGTTAAGAATGTTTGGATAATTTTCTTCTTATTATTAGGACAGATGCCTGATTTTTTGCATCACCTTTTAGGGTAATAGAAGAAGTGCGGGTTTTACAGATGAAGAAAGGAATTCATTTCAAACAAACTTTTTAGACAAGGGTTTTGTGGATACCTTTAGGAAACAGCACCCTGATGTTGTGGGTTATACTTATTGGGGCTACAGGCACGGTGCACGAAAAACTAACAGAGGTATCTCTCTCTTACTTCTTGTAGCGTCTTTTGCTGCTTCAATTTACTTCATGAATATTACGAGTTACTCTCCAGACCTTTCCTCGACCCTCAAAGATTTGGTCATATACTGATTTAAACAAAAAATTACTACTTTATGAGCTGAATGGCTAGGTTGGGCTGATGTCATTTAACGAAAGGGTCTGGAGGGTGAAGAAATTACTATCATCACCACAGCATGGTCATATGATTTTCCTCTTGAAATTTTAGACTTGTAGATCAAAGAAAAATTTACCCTTTCTGTGCGTCAGCTTAAAAGCTACTAGTTTGATTGTTATGGTAAGTACTCTATTCTGTTCCATGAGACAATTGAGAAGAATAGAACTATCCTCTAGTGCTCATGTGAAATCACTGCATTTCATGCAAAGCATTAATTTTTAAAATAAACATTTATTTTATTGGTTAAAAGTTAGAAATAAGTAAGTTATTGTGAAAATGACGCAAGACATAATCAATTTATCCGATAGAAAAAGTTAATTAAAAATTAACTTGATCACCAAACATACTCTCAGCATTCTTTTTCCTAGTACTGCTTCTCTGATACTCCCTTTTTCAATTTTCTGTTTGCTCTTTACTTATCGGTTGTTTTGAACCAGGGTGGCGGCTTGACTATTTCCTCGTCTCCGAATCAATTTCAGACATGGTTCACGACTCATATATTCTCCCTGATGTTACTGGAAGCGATCATAGTCCCATTGGCCTCATTCTCAAGCTTTAGGCTCAGGAGTGACCAGACGACTAATTTCATATCCAAAGCGTAAAAGCTGGATTCTGAAGCTGATTTATGACTATGTTTTGGTTTATATGGCCTTTGTGTTCCAAAAATTGTAGAATCACAAGCACCTTCAAGGGCCGATTTTGAGAGCAAGTTATTTTCGTGTTTAAGAGGGTCAGCCAATAGAGAATTGGAGGAATCTTTCTTGCACTATCATGTATGCCCGTTGCATATGAATTTCATGTGTTCTTTGGATTGATATTAGAAACTTGTTAATTTTCCCTTCTTGTTTATTATCGAAATTAGCATTCTTAAAACCAAAAAGTCAAGCCGGATCTAGTACACTACAAATTCTAACATCGTGAAGTTTTAATTTTAATTTATTGCAAATTGTATTTCGAATGAACAAATATTAGCTTTTAGAAAAAGTTCTAGGACGACCTGAAAAAAGGCGCAATATTACACGTTGGTGTGACAGTATACAAGTAGTTTTAAAGGTTAAATTATATGTTTTGTTTATCTATAAATGTTTTTATCCTCAACCTTGAAATGACGGAATTGCCTGCAAACCTTTTTTTAAAAAAAAAGAGATGATGATGATGATGAATTTATATAGAAAGAAGAAAAGAGATTAATGCTTGTTTGATTGCAACGAATTTCATGAAAAATGTCGCATTCGAGGAAAGCGAATTTCGCTTTGACCGTTTGATTACAACGTAAAAATGGAAATCAAATTTTAAGGTTGGAATTCATTTCCATCTTTACCTATCAAACGAACCCTAAAAAAAATTAAAAATTGAAAGAAAATTAACAGAAATTCTATAATAAGGTAATCATAAAAGGTTGGGACTTTAAGAGTAACTCGGGGTAAAGGTTAGGGATTAAACATAATTTTAATGAATACATAAAAATAGAAATAATGACATAATATATCAATTAATTGATAAACGAGTTCATGATAGGAGTTTACAAGTAGATGTGGGGTTTGATAGTTTCCCGGCCTGGTCGAGTGACATGATGGTACAGATTTTTCTATTTCTATATTAATATTTTCCTCGCACATTTTTCAAGTATGTTCACAAGACAAAGAAAATGAGAATATGTTAAGAAAAAAGAGTTGTTAAATTAGTTCAGTCATACTACAGGGCTTTGGTTCCCATGGCTGCGAAATAAAAGTGCATAACCATTCAATCTTTGTGAGAGAAGATGACTCTTTAAAAGTTACAATTTTGAATATCAAACGGGCAGTTCATTCATCTAACCATAAACTAGAGCCACTTGGCGATGCTACCATATTGAGCCCATTCCTGGAGAAGCAGATCCATATATCTATTATATGAAACAAAATAATGTTCAGTTGAGTCAAAGCTGGATAGGAACGAAAGCAATATTGACTATATAATTTCAATCTAGGGCCTTCAAATGTTTTGAGATTCTTAACAACTAATCCAAAACGCAGCTTGTTAAAAAGAAAGCAGTTCAATCACCTTGTAGCCTTTCCCAATCAAGCAGCAGTCATGTTTAATCAATATCCATTGTCTTCTCTTTCTCGTCGTCTTTGCTTGACCACAGCTTGATTGTGCGATCGTGTGAAACAGTTGCAACACATTGCCCATCTGCAACAAATGATGAACAGCAACAAATTACATAAAATCATTTTAAACTTTGAACATCAAAATTGACGAGTCAGCAAACTATGACCACAATTAAGGGAAAATCAAGGGTGAAGAAAATGCACAGATGTTCAACTTTACATTATCAAATATCGGGTGAAATGCATGGAGTCTCTTAGTCTATTGCGCAAAATTCACTACCCTTATTTTGCCCCAAGAACTTTTCCAACCTCTTCATGTGTTAGACACGTAGCAATGTAAAACATCACTAATAGAAAGATTTGATAAGGGTCAAAAGTCTCAGTAGTTACGTAGATCGAGCCAAAATGATACCAGACTATGTGGCAATGATCAATACCCAAGCCAGTAAAATACGGGTGGTCATCATTTATAACTTATGCGGACAAAGCAAGATTACAAGATAGAGCGCCAAGCACCTAAAAGGGGACAACAGTCCTAGAACTGAGTTCCTCTCACCCTCCACGTAAAAGAACGGGGGAAAAAAAAAAGAAAATGAATATACATTTTGTATTCTACCAATCTCATTACGGAACATAAGAATAGCTCATGGAACGGAAACAGATCTAATAACAATTTTAAAATAAAAATTCTAAATTAGATTTTAGGCTAGAGAAACTCACCTCCAACAACATCAAGTGATGTAACCTTTGATTCATGACCAGATAGTGTCTTTACAGGCTTAAAATCTCTAGATGACCACATCTGAGATAGAAAGTTAGGAATAAGGGAAATGTGTTGAAATATCAGTTCAACAAATATAAAACACAATGAGAGTGGAGAAGCATAGATATAGAAGATGGGTACCTTAGCTGTCATATCATATGAAGAAGTAACCAAAAAGTATCCTTCTTGAGGCTCAAATTTGACCTGAGATATAAGGTTAGAGTGAGCCGGTATTACGTATATAGATTTTCTCTTCCTCAAATCCCATATGCGGCAAGTATTGTCTTCACCACCAGTAGCCAAATGATAGCCATTGGGAGAAAAACTGACACCAAGTACCTGAAAGGAAAATAATAAGAGATTCATCATTTGTACTCCAACAACCTAATCATCAATTCCACCCTCAATCCCTCTTTCACTGCAGAAAGTATAATAACAAAGCTGGAAAGCAAAGACGGAATAGTTTCACAACACAGAGTCTTACCGGTTTAACATGGCCTTCCAGGGCAAGAATACTTCTCCCAGACCTCAGGTCCCACACACGAGCAAGAGAGTCAAGTCCACAGGATGCTGCTAAAGAGCCATCACGGTGAAAAGATAATCCATATACACTCCTGCTGTGACCTTCTTGGAGAAGCAACTCTTCACCAGTCTCTACATCCCATAACCTCCAAGTCTTGTCATAGCTAGCTGTGCCCAAGTATTTTCCTGATGGATGGAAGGCAATGCGAGCAAGACGATCCAAATGTCCCTGAAATGTTCTCTGAACAGACCCTTCAGTGTTCCATAATCTTGCAGTTCGGTCAGCAGATGCAGTAGCCAAATGGTAACCTGTGGGAGAGAATGCAACATCTGTAGCTCTTTCAGTGTGACCCTTTAATGTAGAAACCTTCTTTACTTCAGGCAAGCTCCATAACTTTGCAACTCCACTTAGAGCACTAGAAACAGAAAAGTAAAAAATAAGAAACATTTAACAATTCTTCATACATGATTATCATTTCTCAAATGAACTTCTAAAAAGTCAACAGTGGAATCTCAAGGAAAAAAGAACTAACTGGTTCACAATTTTAACATAATAAATACTTGAATACCATACTTTTACAGTCAAATAAAGAAATATCTACTACAGAACCGTAAGCGTAAGAGAAACCACGCAATTGGAGACCTCTCAAAAATGAAAATTGAGGACCTTATTTGAGTGCTAAAGGTAAACACAAAACATTGTTAGTGTATAACTAGAGTAAGTCTTGACTAGTCAAACACAAAAATGATGGAAAGAGATATCATAAACCACAAATTAATACTATTATTTTTGAGTAATCTGTTATATATATAACAAGCGGAAAACCTTTAAGGTGCCCATACAATCAGCACATGTAAAGCACCTTCAACTGTATGACGGCTATATCATGCGACATGCATTGCTATGCATATTTTTGACATGTCTAACTGACTAAATCACATGAATAGAAAAACATAGACAGGCTTTGGGAAGTTGTTGGGGGGGGGAATTACCAAGTAGCAAGCACCTTCCCATCATGTGAAAATGAGCATCCAGAGAGAGGACGATCATCACCAATCTCACTGCAGTCTAGGACAAGACTTGCTGCTTGCTTCAGAGACCAATCTATCTCTGCATCCAAATCCTCATCTGGATCATCTTGTTTCCTTCTTGCTCGATGGAGCCGTAATGCTGACTTCAGAATAGAATACTTTGCAATCTCTTTGCGTGCCTCTAAAAGTGCTTGGGACCCTTCCGTGTAAAAGGGATATTGGATATCTTCTTCCATCTCGGTAGGTGCAGAGGCAGCGGCTTCTTCATCCTCATGAGCTTTCATCAGCCTTTCCAACTGGCCCTCAGAGTCCAGCTTTGCCATGAGCATCCGTAAACGATCCCGTCTCTCCATCTCTCTTTCTCCAAAAAGAGTTATAGGTTCACCAAGCCGTCGGAGACGAGCTCGAACAGCTCCATCATTGGTGGGGACTGCCAAAGCAGCTGCACGTCGCTTTATCAGAAGTTCCTGCATTGCTTTCTCCTGCCTTTCTCTAACTATTCTGCTCTCTTCTGAGATCTCGTATTCCAGAGATTCACCTGCAGCATCATGACCTGATCCGGACTCATCTTGGTCCGAATCTGAATCGCTAGTCCTCGGGTCTCCATTCTGTGCCAAAGGTGGCCTGACTATTGGAGGGCGAACAGGGAGTGGTGCCAATGGCCGAGGAACTGGAAGAGGAACAGCAGGTAATGGAGCGATGGAAGGCACAGCTGGGGCTGTAACAGGGGGTGCAACTATGGGTTGAACTGGTTGAAGAGAAATTGTATCAATAGCTGGAACCACAGTTTGATCATCAGCCCCTACAGTGGAAGAATCATCAACTGAAGCAGAGACTGTATTTTCCTCATCAACGTCCATAATTCTTGAATAATGAGAGCCCAAAAAGTAAATACGCGCTTCCTGGTGGATGTATAGGAATTCCTATGTGAACACAACACAAAAACCAAAACAATTAATGAATCCTAACAAATACATGTAACACAACAAAAACCCTAGGAACTCACAGATTACTAACAAGTACTTAATCCCTACTTAACATTCATACACACATTGCACGGAGGGACGGCCATGGAACAATATGTTGCGGGCTAAAATTTAAACCCTACACCTTAAACCCTAAACTAATTTATAACTTTTAAGCATGTAACAA